CTTGCCTCCCTCTGCTTCCAGTCGGACCGAGGTATAATATCGAGGTCGGTTCGGGAAGGGTATTTCAGTGCTCTTCGTGTTTGTTCCCAACCATCCTGTGGTGTTGGGTCCTCGTTTTGAAGAGACGTCGCCCCGCGTTCCTCCTTCCTCCTCCTTCCTCCTCCTCCCCTTCCTCCCCCCTCCTCCCCCTCCCACACCCATTCTGGCACACCCCTCACAAGTTTCGTGGCCCCATAGGGAGCTCCACCGAAGGCCCCAGTGGCTGCGCCCGCATGCGGTTCCACCCCCCATTCTGGCACACCCCTCACACGTTTCGTGGCCCCATAGGGAGCTCCACCGAAGGCCCCAGTGGCTGCGCCCGCATGCGGTTCCACCCCCCATTCTGGCACACCCCTCACACGTTTCGTGGCCCCATAGGGAGCTCCACCGAAGGCCCCAGTGGCTGCGCCCGCATGCGGTTCCACCCCCCATTCTGGCACACCCCTCACACGTTTCGTGGCCCCATAGGGAGCTCCACCGAAGGCCCCAGTGGCTGCGCCCGCATGCGGTTCCACCCCCCATTCTGGCACACCCCTCACACGTTTCGTGGCCCCATAAGGAGCTCCACCGAAGGCCCCAGTGGCTGCGCCCGCATGCGGTTCCACCCTCCATTCTGGCACACCCCTCACACGTTTCGTGGCCCCATAGGGAGCTCCACCGAAGGCCCCAGTGGCTGCGCCCGCATGCGGTTCCACCCCCCATTCTGGCACACCCCTCACACGTTTCGTGGCCCCATAGGGAGCTCCACCGAAGGCCCCAGTGGCTGCGCCCGCATGCGGTTCCACCCCCCATTCTGGCACACCCCTCACACGCTTCGTGGCCCCATAGGGAGCTCCACCGAAGGCCCCAGTGGCTGCGCCCGCATGCGGTTCCACCCCCCATTCTGGCACACCCCTCACACGTTTCGTGGCCCCATAGGGAGCTCCACCGAAGGCCCCAGTGGCTGCGCCCGCATGCGGTTTCCACCCCCCATTCTGGCCACCCCTCACACGTTTCGTGGCCCCATAGGGAGCTCCACCGAAGGCCCCAGTGGCTGCGCCGCATGCGGTTCCACCCCCCATTCTGGCACACCCCTCACACGTTTCGTGGCCCCATAGGGAGCTCCACCGAAGGCCCCAGTGGCTGCGCCGCATGCGGTTCCCCCCCCATTCTGGCACACCCCTCACACGTTTCGTGGCCCATAGGGAGCTCCACCGAAGGCCCCAGTGGCTGCGCCCGCATGCGGTTCCACCCCCCATTCTGGCACACCCCTCGCACGTTTCGTGGCCCCATAGGGAGCTCCACCGAAGGCCCCAGTGGCTGCGCCTGCATGCGGTTCCACCCCCCATTCTGGCACACCCCTCACACGCTTCGTGGGTGGCTCCATGGGGAGCTCCATCGAACGCCCAAGTGGCTGCGCTCGCATGTGATTCCCCCCTCGTTTCGGCACACCCCTCAAACGGTTCGTGGCCCCATAGAGAGCTCCACCGAAGGCCCCAGTGGCTGCGCTCGCATGCGGTTCCACCCCCTTCTTCGGCACGCCCTTCACACGTCTCGTGGCCCCATAGGGAGCTCCACCGAACGCCGCAGTGGCTGCGCTCGCATGCGGTTCCACCCCCCATTTCGGCACACCCCTCACACGTTTCGTGGCTCCATAGGGAGCTCCACCGAAGGCCCCAGTGGCTGCGCTGGCATGCGGTTCCACACCCCATTCTGGCACACCCCTCGCACGTTTCGTGGCCCCATAGGGGGCTCCACCAAAGGTCCCAGTGGCACTGCCCGCTTGCGTCCGCCACCACCCAGCACAGCCCTTGTTCCCTGCGCTTCACCCACCCAGAACAGCGCTTCGTAGCCCTATAGGGAGCTCCACCAAAGGTCCCAGCGGCACCGCCCGCATGCGTCCGCCACCACCCTGCGCAGCCCTTGCTCCCTGCCTGCGTTTCACCCACCCAGTACAGCGCTTCGTGGCCCCATAGGGAGCTCCACCGAAGGTCCCAGTGGCACCGCTCGCATGCGTCCGCCACCACGCAGCACAGCCCTTGCTGACCGCGTCTCACCCACCCAGTACAGCGTTTCGTGGCCCCATAGGGAGCTCCACCGAAGGTCCCAGTGGCACCGCCCGCATGCGTCCGCCACCACCTAGCACAATTGCGGCATTCACAACTGCATATTGTTGGGTCCTTCGCCAGGCTAATTGGATGTTCTTGTGCATTCTGGGGAGGGTACCCTTGCATATTCTGTGTGCTTCGGTCGACGGAGGGTCTCATGTTCTTGGAGGGTGTTCTTCGGCCCAGGGCCGATGGAAAAAGAGTCGAGTCGGACACGCCTGGCGACGCCGAGGGGGCCTCGGCGGGCCTTCGGCACGGCGGCGGCGGTGCTGCACGCGGGCGGCGACAGCGGCTGCGACGCTCGCGGGCAGCACCAGCAGGGCCTCGGCGTGCCGGGGCTGCCCCCGGGGCAGGCGCTGCTCCACGGGGAGCGCTGCTGCGGGGTGCTGGAGGCTTTCGGGCATCCCTGGTGCCCTGCTAAAAGGTAGTGCAGCTCTCGTCGTCGATCTGCTCGTGTTCGTCGCAGTTTTCTGGCCTCTGGGGGCCGTTTTCGGGCGCCGTGGCCGGCAGAGACGAGCCCGGCATGAAAAACTACCCTCGGGGAGTTCCCCGGGACGATTGTTCGACACGACTTGCGAAAGTTGCACTGCTTTTCCGAGGGGGTGTAGGCTTCCCAAATGGTGTCGAAGTAGATGGGGTCGGAGGATCGCGCCTCATCGCCGATGCATCGCGACGATGCGGCTTGATGTGGAGCTTGTTTTTTTTCCATGCTGGCGGCCTCGATTCATTGCCGACGTCGCCGATGCATCGGCGATGCGTCGGGGAGGCGGCGCGATCCTCCAACCTCATCTGCTCGGAACCCATTCGGCGTTACATGAAAATCGTGACGTCCAGATTTTAGTCGTTTAGGGCTCCAGGAGGCTGCTTTCCGGCCCCAGGGCCGTCAAAGAAACGGCTCAGGATGAAAAGCTTGCCTGGGGGAAAAGCTCGAGATCTCCTGGAGCCAACGCCACGAAACGATGGCAGACCCGGAGGACTTCGGGCAGAGCCAAGCCCAGATCTCTGGCTTCGTGCCTTTCCCACGGGCGGTCCTTCTCGGAGGCGAGGCCAGTGGGGGGTAGTCAGAGGGAGAAGGCCTCCTCAGAACGCGGCGGGGCTTCTCAGAAGCCCTCTCCTCCTCCTCCTCCTCCTCCTCCTCCTCCTCCTCCTCCTCCTCCTCCTCCTCCTCCCCCTCCTCCTCCTCCTACCCCTCCTCCTCCTCCTCCTCCTCCTCCTCCTCATCCTCCTCCTCCTCCTCCTCCTCCTCCTCCTCCTTCTGCTCCTCGCCTTCTGCGGAGTTTTCCGCTCAGAAGGCCCGCAGCCTTCCGGGCCTCCTGAGCAGGGCCCGCCCCCTCGCGCGTCCCCCCCCCCCGGGCCGCGCCACCGCTCTTCCTCGTCGGGAGCCTCGAGGCGGGGGTCAGTGCAGGCGGGGGTCAGCCTGGGCACCGGATCCTGCAGGATCCTGCGAAGACCCCCTCTGGCTGACCCGGGTCAGGGAGCCGCTCGTGGCCGCGAGGCGGCCGCGCCTATGGGCCGACCCGGGTTTGCGAAGACCTGCGCTGCAGTTTTTTTGTCCTGCATGCAGTTTTTGGTTTCCTGCTGACCCGGGTCTGGATTGACCCGGGTCAGAAGATCCCCGACCTCGGTCTCGGCCCCCCACGGCACCGTTTCCGGGCCCCACAGGCCACCAAAGCGTCTCCAGGACAGGAAACTACCCCCAGGGATGCGGTCCCCGGGGATCTCTGCGGCCGCGGGTTGAAGAGTCGGACTGGCGGATACCAGGGGGGCAGCGGGTTACCAGCAGGGGGACCACCGCCTCCTCCTGGAAGTCGAGGGCCGAGGAAATGGGGTCGAGGATCGAAGAAGTTCTGGGCGTTTCTGGGTTCCTTGGGGGGTCCTGGGGGACTTGCCTGGACGGTCCAGGGAGGTTCGTTTCGTGGACCCTCTCCTGCAGTGTTGGATTTTTTCGTGACGTTGACCCCCATGGATCTCGACCACATTTCACGTGCTGGTTTTTCATCCTGAGTAGTTGTTCGACGGTTCTTGGACCAAGTAAAGGTCTCCAGAGTCCGAAAACGGCAGAATCTTGACCGTCGCGATTTTCTGGCGACGCCTGGATCTGAGGATAGGTTTGCCCAGACCTCCGACGTCGTGATGACGTACCAGTTTTTCACCCCGAGCCGCTTTTTGACGGCGCCGAGGCCCGGCCAGGTTCCCCAGAGGTGGAAATTTTGGCAGCACCGCTCGTCGCGCTTCTTTCCGCGACGCGTGGGGGTCTGGGCCTCTGATGCAGCTACCGTAGGGGCCCATGCCAAGAAGCACCCTGCTTGCCTCCAGGGTGCCCTGGGTTTCTTGGGTTTCGATGGTTCTGCTATGGAAAGCGTGACGCTCCCACACCAAAAATCAAAGGACGTCCTGGGGTCTCAGGGTTGGGTTTCTCGTGGAAGATTTTTCGTGGTCGGGCTCCTACTGTAGCGAGACCCCCTCCTGGATGCCCCCCCCCTTGGGCACTGCCCTCTTCGGAGGTGGGGCTCCTGGCTCGCTCCTTCACGCTGCGGCGCGGAGCCGAGCTGCTGCCCGCGTGGCCCTCGGAGAGCGCGGGCGGGGGGTGGCGGAGAGAGCCGCGCATGCGCGCGCCGCTGTCCAGGGCGGGGAGCGGAGGAGGAGGAGGAGGAGGAGGAGGAGGAGGAGGAGGAGGAGGAGGAGGAGGAG